CGGGTGTTCATTTTTTGGCGGGGCTTATCTGGAAAAGATGCATGGCCGCTGCGTAGAGGGATGTATGTGTTTTACCACCGGTAGGAACATCAAATCAATATTGCTGAGGTGTGCAAGACCTTTCGAGAAGGTTCAAACTCAACCGGTTAGCCAGTTAGTCGACGTACATTGTACACCAAGAGACCGTTCGCCTCTTCCTGCACGTGTCGGATGGATATGACTCAGGGATGGTCAGTTCATGGCTTTATGCCTTCGTCTCCTCATCGGTAACCGCCATCTGCCCTGGTGGGGATCCCAAGAGGATGTAAACCAACTGTCCCAAACGGACCCTGATGGATATGGCTGTCACGCAGCCAAACGGCAATCGTGTGTCAAAGCTTCACTATGTAACTCCCTCTTTCACAACAACATTGGACAATCAGAACAATTTAATGTCAATAAACTGATTTGGACATCGCCTCCAAAGCGTGGCTCTCATTCTCTTTTTTTGTGGACCACAGTCTCATTAATACCTTCTGATTACCGTGAACCGCGGTCTGGATAGCCGGTTGATAGCCTGGTGCGCTTGACCAAACCAGAAAAAGTCAACGAACGTGCGAGCCAGCTGCTCTATTCATCATTGTCGCGTACAAGCGGTCAAAAGTGATGCTAAGAACAGAAATCATCTGTCAAGGGCGAGTGAAGAACAACCAATGAAATGTCTCAATGAAAACGGTTATTCCATTGGCTGTTATGTAGTCCCGTTACGTTCGGAGCTGGTTCACCTAATATCTTTATTTTCGGTACACGAAAATATAGCAGCTGGAACCACCTTTTGTGTTTTGGAGATGAGCGACTGAACTAAAGTGGTTAATTTTTTGTCGCTGTCCTCCTCGTCCGCAGGGTATTGATTGACCTTGTTTCTAGGACCTTTGCTAATTCTGCCACATCTACAACTCCCCACTTACTTACGCCAGCAACTGCATTCATTTCTCTCGCTGCTCTCGGTCGCACGCTTGCTTTCCTGACCACGCAACGTGTCTGCAAAGCAGCCGAGAAACCGACCGTATTTATGTAGGTTGTCGGAGTAAGGTGTGGTGTTGGCTGAGGTCAGAGGTCGATGGTCCGGAAGAACTCAGGTGGTTGTACTGGAACGACAACATTCACATCGATTTGTCTGCTCGTCTATTTCTACTCTGTAGAAAAGTGTTCGCTAAGCCCAATCACACTGACTAGCCCAGGTGTGTCGCCAAAACCAGAGTTAGATTCTTCTTGTTGCGGCGTTAACACACGCGCACAGTGTGATTGGAGGTGGGGTGAGATCCCTTTTCCAGGTGAGAGGGGACCAAGCGGTGTAAGAACAGTCAATTAAACAGCAGTTTCACCCACAGGTGTCGTAGGCATGTGAACTGGAATTACAGGTCGGCTTGGAATAACAACATGGGAGCGTTGGGCCGCAACACATTACATTTTTGGAGCGACCGCTGTAGAATCAGCAAAGGACAATTTTGTTCCCAGAATGCCGTTGTGCATCCACCGATAACCATGGGCAACTCAGTTAGAAAATGCTGCTTCAGCGATATCGCTATCCTGTTGGTTAACTGTTGTATCTGCTGAGTCGTCAGTCGATTTTATCGGTCCCCGCTCCAGTCCTTGGTGTCGGAAAAAGGCTCGCCGATAAGGAACACAAAAGCCTCATTGCGAACAATCGAGTGCGAGAATACAATGGATATAAGGGCTATTTTACTGGAGGGACATTGTCTGGCTTTGACACACACACACACACACTTCGTCTAGGGGTCTCCACCAAGAAGAGCAGCGCATGAAAAGGATGTTGGGAATAATTAAGGAACCCCACCTGATAGAGAGAATAGACCAGCACTTGCTCCGAATGAGCATAGATGATGACGCCCTGGGCAAGGCAAACAGTTCTGAAAGACTGAACTCTAGGAACCATTCGGATCCAGGACCAACAAAATCATCGGCTGCTAACAGACCTGCCAGGTCATTTGACACCATGTGAAATGTCACCGGGGAACAGCACAGAGACCTGCTCAGTCTTCCCTACTGGAAGCTCTGTTGTTTGGATAAGTCGACGCATGAACAGCGGGGTCAAAGAACTGGATGTGACTGAAAACAGGCCGATACGTCTGTAGTTATCGAGCCATCTCCTGGTAACCGGGATTATGTCTGAGAAATCGTCATTTAATTCCCAACTCGTTTGTCACATACGTCGCAAAAGGGCAGAGATAGGAACTTCCATCAGGCAAGAGTATTTATTTACCCAATTCGGGAGGGGCAGCTGAACTTGGCGTGACATCTAGGCATCGGGCTAGGCAAGCTGGAAATCTGTCTGTCACCAAACATTTGCAAGTTGGCTGCCAAGCTTGGTGAACAGACGAACACCCAATCCATACGCACTCAAGCTACCCACATTCGGACAAATTACCAACGTAAAATGTGGTTTGTTCGACAAACTGTTTCTTCTTAGTCTACCCTTCAATACTTTTCGTCTTCGGTCAAACACTGGGGTCGGTGTTTTTCTCGCGGAGAAGACACAAATTTGTAATGCACTACTCACAAGGTTGCTGAAAATTCGCCCACAACCCACGACCGGTTTCGCTCTTCTTGAGGCTCATCAGGTAGGCGAAGTCTCCGTCAACCTTATGGTCTACTTGAAACCAAATTGCACGAAATGCACTCGTTTGCAAATCATTCTTTCCCAGGCATAAAGTTCACACCGACCTTCACGTTTTTCCCAACGTTTCAATGTTGCTGTTGTGATGAGAGCAAGTTGGTGAACCTTGATCGTCGACTGGGTGATCGGACGCAAATTTAGCTTGTGGCAATCGGTGTACGGATATTGTCTGGGCAGAGAACAAGCAGAACTGAGCTGAAGTAATAACATGACCTGAATAGAGAGAGGTTAGTTAAGAAGCACTGTGTCCATCTACAGCTAGTCGTGACGTGATCTGTTCGTCTGCGCCTGATTGGAAAACGATGGTCTTGACGGACAGGTACATGCTAAGAGAGGGGATAGAAGTCGTACTCGGACACACCCACCAACTGCGTCTCCTCCGGAGAGAGGGGGGTGGGTGGGCGCTCATGTCTCCAAACAGAATTACGATGTGGGAATTTGTTGTTCGCCACGAGGGACTTGACAATGCAGTGCAGATTGCATCTGTCAGATTCACAGTTACCTTTTGTGGAGTCTAAGCTTATACAGGATGATTTGTTCTCGGTGAGCAACCTGATAGCGTCTTACTGACGACCCTGAATCACTCACTAACGGGTAACGACTTTGTAGCGAAATGTGGGGTCGACACTATGAGGGACTTGTAGAAATGCTGTTCTGAGTCGGCTGTCAGAAAAGAACACGTCTGTATTGTCCATGCTGTTGAAAGTCCAAAGCACTGACAGGTACGAACTTTAGGCAAACCTTAAACCAGTTGGACCAAGCGGTATTTTAGCAGAATCATGTGATTTGCAACTGAACACATAAGACTCCCATCGGTACAATATGGGATTGGGTAGACAGAGCATCGGATGGGTAGACACAGTGTCAAACAGGGTGTGGATCACATTGATGGGATTCTCTCCACATACTGTCCATTGGCTGGGGGATTCCGAATGTCGTCAATGGATTGGACCAATTTCAGTTCACGTGCAGCCCAGTTAGGGCTATCCGGACGTGTCATACCTGCAACAATGTCAAGCAGAACGAATAGCAGATTGACGAAAAACGTTGGAGAGCATGAGGTCAAAGGGGAGAACATAAAACTTCTTAGTTCTAGTTCGCAGCTTAGCAAGTCGGTAGGCAGTAACGGCACCAAACATTGAAAGACGCTATCTACGTCACAGTGAGGCTCCAGGGCGACTGATACTGAAGACGGAATGAGGCTGTGCGTCACTCAGTGGACAACACGCCGGCGCACCCTGTTGATCTGACTGGGAAAAAAGTAGGCTCAATCTAAGTTGAACTTCAATAGTGGCAGCACTGGGGTCGAGAATACAGTTGGGGACCACATACACTGGTTATGGCTTCTCAAAGCGTCAAGGATTTCTTACCTAAGCATACTCCCCCATCACCGAGTCGGACAAGGCGAATAACATGCGAGAGATCTTATAGTTTTGACAGTACATCCTACAAGTAAGCTACTCTGGTTTTGTCAATGCATGTGTGATTTGTCCTTGACTGGGATAAAAAAATACGATTGTGGCAATGTTTGTTGGTGCGTTTCTCGAACAAAACTGTCACTTAGCCGGACGGAAGTAAAAGGGCTATCCAAGTCTAGACACGAGAAACAGGAAAGTGCAAAGAGGCAAGTTTCGGTTAAGAGCTCTCTTTTCCGCCTTTGTATCCCCCTAGGTCCCTAAACGGAACAATCCAGAATAAGTCAGTGGTTGGATCGTGTGTTTGATTAACACTAAACCTCCTAAACTGATCCTGCAGACACTCTGCTTCGATCAAACCCTTGTAACTCTTTCTGTGTGATGTTGGATGCTCGTACTTTTATGACTTTATATGAATCTGGTTTTGCACATGCACTGGGGATTCCATTTGGACCGACTGCAGGGTTTGTGCGTTTCGTGAAGCAGCGTCGTTCTTCACACCATGGAATTCCTGACAAGACTGTGAAGGAAGGCTATGAAAGTCACGAAGACATCGCAGGGATGACTGATATGCCCACGCCCGATTACAGCCTATTCTCCCAAAAACCGATCCTATTGGGAGCAGCACCGCCAACTGTAAAGGCGGTAAGGGTGAGCGCATCGGTTGAAAAACCTATCCTCGTGGCGACCAAGGTGAGTCATCGACCTGTGGTGGTAGGTGTGACGAAGGGACTCGCACCTGCACACAGTTCACTGTGAAACGTCCCACATTTGGACTCGAGGGCGCCTCAAACTTCAGCGAGTCGACGTACAAGCAACAGATGAGGAAGTCTAGAAAACAAGTTGATTTCCTCGGTAATCTCGATGGTGGGTGGATGAGCGTGAGTCAACTATCCAGGAACAATTTTCAAACTGATTTTGGGTTAAAAACATGTCAGTAGAACACACAATCCGTTAGATGCAATTAAACTGATCATCGATAGTTCTACGCACTTTGTCACAGTATAATACAAGCGGGGCCTTGCAGCGGCCAGTAGATGGATCGATGACACTAAGTATGTAAGTGGGCATCACGAGGAGTGTCATTTCGTATTATTTTTTGTAGAGCGAGGATTTGGGTGCACAACCATTTCGCCAATAAATAGATTCTTTCTGACAGAAAGACCTTTTCAGGAAGACGACCTCTGCCTTTCGACTTCCCCGTCTAGGCTTGGGCAACCTGGCAGCAACCTTTGGGTAGCATGGCAGCTAGGCACCGGAAGAGTGCTACAGCTGAACGTTTGTTTCTTCTTTCTTGCTACTCTGCAAGTGCTGTAAACTGTGAACTCAAATTTGGAAATGCATTTTTCTTGCGGCCTGCTTCGGCAACCTTTGCTCCGGCAAGCTGAATACCTTCAAAACGATAGTGGGACCCACTGATAATCACGGACAGTCTGTCTTATCGACCTCATACAAAGTAACCACAAAGTTTTCTTTCACCAGTTCGTCAGGTGACGGAATCAGACCGCATTTTATAAAAACTTCCATGTTTTCCTCTAATGTCACTTCAAAAAAGTCATCCAAAAGCCATCCGAAACAGAGTATCACCCTAAGAGTACAATTCCTTGCTGCTGGACGGCAGAACAGCCGCTGTTGGTTGATTAGAATCTCGTTCGGCACTTTTCACACGCCTACTCCACGGGTAATGGTGCTCCCTCTAGGAATGTTGCGCAAATCAATCGACAGTTAACCAAAATCAGGTCGAATAATACTCAAGTAGAACACATGAGGTTGACGGAAACCCGGGGACTGCGCCTACCTGATGAGTCCGAAGAAGGGCGGAACCGGTTGTGGGCTGTCNGAGTTTTCAGCAACCTTGTGAGTAATGTAATTTCCTAAAATACTCACACCTGTTATTGAATTGCTCCTAAAGAACGCAAAATGCATCGGTGTCCCCCATGTGATGTTTCCAAATGTATTGGAAAAATCTTTTGCGGTCCAACTGAGCCGTAGTCGGCTCAGTTGGAATGGCTGTTTCAGAAATGCTAGAGGAGAGAAACAGGAATACTATTGATCTTCCACAAGTCAAATGACTATGGTATGGTCTCTATGATAGGATAAACTACCGGCTAGGCTGTTATATTAAATCAGCGGTCGGCTTGTTTCTACGATGGGTGTTGTGCGAGTAGTGATCGAGTAAGAGCAAACTACAGTTGATGAGGTATTGCTGACTGAGCGATCATCGAAAGCAGGATGAGGTGGGGAAAAATCGTTCGACTGTAACACCCCTTCGGTCATGCCACCCGAGGAAAGCACTATGACTGCCAGGCTGTCCATGCACGGACAGGAGCAGCTGGGTTCGAACCACGGACCTTTCGATCAGTAAGCCGAATCTCAACCAATCAGCTTCAGGGTGGGATAGTGGGTTGTTCCAGTGATTGAGGTACAATAATCGGCTGGATTCGATCCATTGAGGGAAGCAGAATAGATTGAATTCTGGTCCTTTGTAGGAGCGCTGATGTGTGTGACCGGAATGCGGAAGTGGTGACGGTCCCGCAACAGCAACATGGCCGTTTATGGGGAGTCGGCGGCGAGAACTACTATCCCAACTGTAACGAGTTGCAGATTGTGAACGGTATCACAAGGACCTAGATAGATCTTACAGCGCAAACCCTTGGATTCCAAACAACCGATTCGGGGGGAAACAGAGGCACTAGAGACGAAATACAGGGAGCATACCTTTTGGGTTCTTGGACTCATCCAAAGTTCTCCGGAGTACAGCTTGCATGCTACGTAGAACAAGTTCAAATGTATTCTAAAAGGTAAAATGGAGTGTGGTTAACGTGGGAACCAAAGACGTTCAGTGATGTAATACACCGACTGTCAAGCTGCATAACCTTGTTACCGTGGAGCACACCTTGATAAATTTCTAGGTAATCGATTAACAAACTAAAAAGGACTCTAATTAGGAGGATATGGTCAAGTTTTACCGCTCCTGTGGAGATAGCCTTTGGACTGAAGTACTTCCGTCGAGGGTGCGATAATTAACAAGATCCGAGCTCGGAATCTGACCGGATGCTACGAAGAAATACACGGTCATCTGCGCACATAGACGATGAGTCGGTGGAGAGAACTGACGACTCACTGAAAGTCGAATTGTTTGACTGAGTCTAGAAATGGTCCAAACCAAGTTTCACACCTCTCCCTACCAGGGGAAAAAGCTACCGACTCCAGCGTAATGAATGTCAACGGTACACTAAATGCATTCATTTCAAAAACAAATCGAAACCATGTACAAGCAACAGTCTGGGGGATGAAAGGGGCTTCGACAGCTGACTGGCTATTGGTTCCATATTACCGACAAATCAGAGCCCAGTTCAATACACAACTGACCACCAGCCCGTCCCTTCTAATGCACACATGAGACTGAAGCATTTACATATATATATATATATATCAAGGTGAAATTTAAGTAAGCTGCGCTTGATTCAGAAAAGGGTTCGTTTCCACGATAAGTTCACAATAGCATTCCATGCGATCCATGAACTCGTGTCTGACCTCGTGATGATGAATCGGCCTTCAGGGCGGGGGGATGTCCGGAGACCAGCCTTTCCCAATAACCGAACATCACATTGTTTGGACGAATGTGTCACGTGCAGGACACGGACCAAACGAAGGCATACCCTGATTGGTCAGAATGCCAGCCGATCCGGATCGACCACCTTTGACTCGACGCCTCTCGCCCCTCAAGGAGATTCTAGCACGACCTTGAGGAACACTCTGTGATCATTCTATAAATACAGATGTAACAATTTTCCTTTATCTCCATGAAGGGCTGTGTAGGGCTACCATCCCTTTTGATATACCATAGTGTGTGGAGCAGGAGGCCAAGGGACCGATACAGAGTTGCACTATCGCTCAACAAGACACAACAGGGGAATACCCCCTTTCCTCAGGACTACCTCTAAGAAGTGAACGATTGAGCAGATCTGACACTAACGTATGCGGGTTACAATCCCCCTCGGTGTTTGTCAGATATGCACTGCTGCGAACCCACGGCGATCCACACGAGTTAATCAACAATACTGAACCAGAAAATCGAAGAAACGCACCGCAAACGAAGATTTCAACTGAGATTTCAGGCCACACTCAATTCTTGCCAGTGTTAGTGCTGAAAATAGATCGCCAGTTCCACGGAATTCACAGTCAAGTACCGGGATGACCAAGCGTAATTGTTCGTAGGTATCACGGCCTAAAGGAAAATGAGCACGGTGAAAAACAGAGCGATATACCATATACTGTTCAGTTATACAAGTCAATCCTAGTGTTAATATAATATTCAAACAAGCGCCCGGGTAGACAACTACCTAGTGAGGACAACACTGGTGGTAGGCTATCTCACATTTGATCGCCGTTCAGCTGTAACACCCTTTCGGTGCCTAGTGGCATACCATCCAAAGGAACCACGAGAATTGAGGTACTGCCAGGTTACCCGAGCCTAAACGAGAAGAGTCGTCGAGGTTGGGTTCGAACCACGGACCTCTTCATCTTAACCAGTGAGCCACTTCGGCTAACAGTTGTGATCCTTCATGGCTCCTCAGGAAACTCAATGAGTGAAAACGCGTTTGGAATAACATTCATCTGACCAGCCATGATTCTGAATAGCCTCAATATCTCAAATGCCTCGCGTGGGAGAAGGGAATTTAGTGAATGAAAAGAAAAAACCTCAATGAACAGTCCGCCTTTTCATTTCGGTTACGCAACCGTGTGATGATTTCGAAATTTCCTATTGATAATTCACCATGTAAGTGGAACCAATCTATGCTGAGAAGCCGAGAAGCACTGCAGAGCTGTTTTATCCCTACTGGGGATCACGAGCAGTGCTCATCTCACGAAATTCCGAGGAGTCTCAAATCCGCGACTTCCTGGCTAGTAGTTTGAACACTAAGCCGTTCAGGCAACAACGAATGATTAGCAGTAATGAAAAATCTCTCAGCTGTAACCCCCTTCGGTGCCTAACTGCCATGCTACCCGAAGGAAACACGAGGGCTGGGATACTGCCAGGTTGCCCAAGTCTAGACAGGGAGTCGGGAGGCAGAGGTCGGGTTCGAACCACGGACCTTCCGGTCAGTAAATTCACGCTCTAACCACCTGAGCCTTCTCGCCTCATGATCAACAGTGTGATTAATTCTCACCTAGACAGGGCATAGCGCTTCATTGCAGAATCGTCAGCTCCTACTGTTCGCTTTTCCGGTAACACGAGTTTACACCATCACTATTGGTTTTAACTACCATGGAGTCTAACAGCGACGGGGAGAGTAAAGGACTGGGGAAACCAAAGGCGCTTAGCAGTAAGTATTCCATGGTTTATAAATCTTCGGTGCGACACTACTCACAATCAAAAACGGGATTCCATCACCTGAAACCTCATGCGATGCGGATTAACCTCTATCACTTAGTTGTTCATCGAACTTCTTATTTCAATGACACTGAAGTCGGCTGTACGTCTGCGCAACCTTCTGGAGGTGGTAACAGATACAGTTCCCCATAAGGCAGCAGTCATCGGATCGAAGCAACCTCTTACTATCTACATTTATAAACCTTTTTTGTCCATAGAAGAGAGGGTTAGTAAAAATCTCTGGGGCGATCACGGCCGGTTTAGGTTTTAGGATTTTTATACAGTGACTTCCCAGTTTTGTGTGGAGACACGGAACAAGTGGAACAACAACAAACTGTCCGTCAACTTGCTTAAAGGGCGTAAAAGTAACGGGAGGACGAGGTTTAGTGATTGGATGCGAAGCGTCAGATGTAATCGGTAAAGCGCAGCAAGTCACTCTTCCGAGTGTCTAACAGACGTATCCACAGCTAGGGCCTAAGGAAGTGGACCAAAAGGGGAGATGTCAGCATTCGCATGTCTTTGTTCATCCGCCCCAGTATATGCAGCGAATAAAGCGACCAGTCGATCTCATCAGACGTTAGCCCGTGTGACATATCACTACTTTTGTTATTTGCTTCCATTGTTGCACGTAGGGTGAGATTCTACTAGGGCGCCCAAGCCTAGACAGGGGCCTTAGTAGAGTTCCTAAACAAAAACCGTAGCTAAGCAAAGTGGCCGAAAAGTAGCGGTGGCGGTTGACGTAATGCTTCCCGAACAAGGCGTCATACAAAAGTTCGAACTCCGAAACCTGGAGGACGAGAAGATTGCTTGACAGATCTGTTTTCATGACCGGTATGGAATAGACAGAATGTGTGGGTGGTGTGTGGGAATCCTGTAGTATAACCGAGTTCCCAAACCGATAAAGTTCAGTCTTTTGGCAAGAGCATTGAAAACGAGCTGAGTTGTGTCAGTTCCACGTACCACTAGTTTTCCATCTGGTGAATGGTTCTTATTGCTCAGTACACTATGATCTCGTTGTTTCGGTGCTCCTCATGACAGCACCCTCACGCATCGCTCATCACAAACAACCACAGTGGTTCAGCTGTAAAGCCTTTTTGGCGGCTAGCTAACATAGCATCCGAGGAAAGGCATCAGAAGGAAGGCTGAGATGCTGCCAGTTTGCTCAAGTCTAGACAGGAACAGTTGAAAGAGCGGGGTTGCGTTCGAACCATGGACGTTAAGGGCAGTAAGTTTGTACCCTGACCACTGAGCTAGTTCGAGCCCATCAATCTCGCATACCGCTTGCTCAACTTTCACTATTCCGTCTTTTCTCGCTAAACGGCAACCATACTAGGCTCTTCAGATCGCTGGCCGCACTCAGCAGGAACG